TCAGCATGGCAAAGAGTTTATGAAGAAGTCCCCAAAGGCAATCACAGCAGCAACAAAAAATAATAAATGGGACATGATCAAACTCCAAAGGTCTGCACCAAAGAAATAGTCATGAAGTTAAACAGACAACCTACAGAATGGGAGAAAATATTTGCTCCTATGCATCGATATAGGGACTGATTACTAGAATATACTTAGAATTCATGAAAATCAGGAAGAAAATCAAATAACCCCATTAAAATTGGCAAAGGACTTGAACAGAGACTTTTCTAAAAGACAGAGAATGGCCAACAACATATGAAAAATGTTCAACATCTCTAATCATCCGGAAATGCAATCAAAACTACAATGAGATATCACTTAACCCCAGTGAGAATGCCTTCATCAAAATGTCTCACAACAATAAATACTGGCGTGGTTGCCGGAGAGAGGGAACACTCCTACACTGCTGGTGGGACTGCAAACTGTTCAACCTCTGTGAAAAGCAATGGAGATACCTTAAAGCGATACAAGTGAATCTACCATTTTATCCAGCAATCCATTGTCTGGGCATCTACCCAAATGATCCAATGCAACTCTACAAAAAAAGACATCTGCACTCGAATGTTTATAGCAGCACAATTCATAATTGCAAGGCTGTGGAAACAGCCCCAGTGCCATCAACCCAAGAATGGATTAATAAAATGTGTATATGTTACCATGGAGTACTATTCAGCTCTAAGAAACAATGGGATATAGCACATCTTATATTTTCCTGGTTAGGCTGGAACCCATACTCAAGTGAGTATCCCAAGAATGAAAAACAGACCGATATATTCTCAGCAAACTGGTATTAACTGAGTAGCCCTAAGTGGCACATAGGTACTACAGTATAGAGTATTGGCAGCGTGGAGGGGGCAGGGGGGTGGGTATATACATACATAATGAGTGAGATGTGCACCATCTGGGGGATGGTCATGCTGGAGACTCAGACTTGTGGGGGGAGGGGAGAAATGGGCATTTATTGAAACCTTAAAATCTGTACCCCCATAATACGCCGAAATAAAAAAAAAAATAAATAAAGCAGTAAAAACAGAAAAAAAAAAGTAACTAAACAGACAAGTAGCAGACACAACAAATAGCAACAATACTGAACCCTGAGGAGAGGTAAAAAAGAGTCTTATTCCCAAAGTAATACCTTATTTAAAATAATTGCCACATTATTTAAAATTTCCAGTTTTTAACAACAACAACAAAAAATATGAGCTATGCAAGGAAACAGAAAAGTATAGCCTATGCAAAGGAAAAATATGTCCATAGACACTATGTCTTTGGAAGCACAATTATTTGACTTATTAGACAAATGCATTAAATCAGCTATTGTAAATATGTTCAAAAACTAAAACACATCATGTTTAAAGCATTCAAGGAACATATGAGAATGACATCTCGCCAAATAGAGAATAGCAATAAAGAAAAACTATAAAAATGACCCATATATAAATTCTAGAGTTGAAAAGTATAATAGCTAAAGTTAAAATTTTTACCAGAGGGACTCACAGCAGATTTAAATAGGCAGGAGAAAGAAATAGCAGACTTGAAATAGGTCAATGGAGACTATCTAGTCTGAGAGAAAAAGAAAAAGAATGAAGAAAAATAAATAGCATTAGAGATACATGGGACACCATCACATGTACCAAAGTGCCCACAATAGCAGTCTCAGAATAAGAAAAGAGAGAAAGAGACAGAAAGAATATTTGAAGAAATAATGCCCCAAACATCCCAAATTGATGAAAAACATTAATCTGGAAATTCTAAAGGCTCAACAAACTCCAATTAGGAGTTCTACTCCAAATAGGAAAAACCTGTCATCAGTAATTCTATATCTAGCAAGACTATCTTTCAAAACCAAAGGAAAATTAAGAGATTCTCTAAGAAAAAGTGAGTAAGTTTATTGCTAACAGACCTTCCCTTTAAGAACTATGATGGGTGTTCTTCACAATGAAAGGAAAGGAAGTTAAACAGTAACACAAAGAAATAAAGAATACCAGTAAAGGTAACTACCTAGGAAATTATGAAAGACAATATAAATGAATATTTGTTTATAACTATTTTTACTAATATGATTTAAAAGACAACTTACAAATAATTAAAAACTATACTGATAGGTTTATAATGCATAAAGACGTAATGTATATAAAATCAAAAGCACAAAAGAGGGGTGGGTAAACAGAACTATATTAGAGCCAAATTTTTATATATTATTGAAATTAAGTTGATATTATTTTTAACTACATTGCTTTAAAATGTTAATTGAATTTCTCAGGGCAACCACTAAGAAAATAATAGTAAAAAAATGGAATTAAAATTGTATACTAGGAAATAAATATTTTACACAAAAGAAGGCAGTGATAGAAGAATACAGGAACAAAAATGACATAAGATGTACAGAAAACAAATATGAAAATGCCAGATATAAATCCTACTTATTCATAAAAAGATTAAATATAAATGAGCTAAACATTCTATTCAAAAGGCAGAGATTAGCAGAATGGATTAAAAGAAATCCAACTATATACTGTCTACAAGAAACATACTTTATATTCAAAGACAAAAATATGTTGAAATAAGATGGAAAATATATACCATGCAACAGTAACTGAAGAGGGTTTGAGTGACTATGCTAATATCAAGCAAAATAGACTTTAAGACAAAAATTATTATCAGAGACAAAGAACACTTTCTAATAACAAAAGTGTCTACCAAGAAGACACAATAATTGTAAACATATCTACATATAATACGGTACCAAAGTACAGGAAATGAGAAGTAACAAAAATAAAGGTAGAAATAGATAATTCAATAATAACATCTATAGACTCCAATTCCCCATTCTCAATAATAAGACAACTAGGAAAAGATCAACAGGGAAACAGAAGACTTGAACAACACTATAAAGAAAGTAGATCTAAAAAACATCTAGAACAATCAACTCAACAATAGCAAAATACAAATTTTTCTCGAGTGCACAAGAAATACTCTTTGGGATAGACTATATGTTAGTCCATAACATAAACCCTACTAAACTGGAAAGGATTAAATTATACAAAGAATGTGCTGTGACCATAATGAATCAAAATTGGAAATTAATAACAAAAGGAAATTTGGAAAATATACAAACAGATGAAATTAAAGAACATATTACTAAGTAACCAATGAATCAAAAAATCAGAGAAATTAGAAAATACTATGAGATGAATGAAAATGAAACCACATATACCATCACCTTATGAGATGCAGCTAAAGCATGTTTACAGAAAATTTATAGTTGCAAATGCCTGTATTAAAAATGAAGGACCGTAAATTAATAACCTAATCTTTACCCCAAAGCTCTAAGGAGAGAAAAGTAAATTAAGCCTAAGCAAGCTGAAGGAAAGGAATATTAAATATTAGAGCAAAAATAAATAAAATAGAGGATAGTAAATAATAGAGAAAGAAGAATGAAACAGTTGTTTCTTTGAAAAGATCAATACAATTGATAAAATTGACTAAGAAAAGTAGAAGGTGCAAAGTAATAAAATGAGCAATGAGAGTGGGAGGGAAATTTCTGCTGTTCTTAAAGAAAAAAGTATAAGAAAATACTATCAATATCTGCCAACAAATCAGATAACGTGCATGTGCAAAAGACACAGCTGTGTAGAAAAATACAAACCACTAAAAGTGACTCAATAAAAAAAAAAATCTAAATAAATCTACAGGTAAACAAATTAAGTTAGAAGTCAGAAACTTCCCACAAAGAACAGTTTAGATGCAGATAGCTTCACCAGTAAATTCTACTAAAGGTTTAAATAATAATTAACATCAATGACAGTGACAACATCAAATCAGTGACAAATTAAAAGAAATAAGAATATCACATCAATACTTCATAAACTCTCCCCAAAATTAGAAGAGACATTCTCCAACACATTCTATGAAACCAGCATTACCCTGATTTCAAAACCAGACAAAGCATCACAAGACTATTACCCCTTACAAACATAAACTGGTACGTGCCGTAACATGGACGAACCTTGAAATCATCATGCCAAATGAAAGAAGCCACCACAAAAGGCCACATGTTGTATAACCCCGTTTATCTGAAATGTTAAGAATAGGCAACTCTATAGAAACTAAAAGTAGATTAGTGGTTGCCAGGGGCTGAAAGGATGGGGCAATGGGGAGGGACTGCTGATGGGTAGGTTTGTATTTTGGGATTAATGAAAATGTTCTAAAATTAGATAGTGTTGTTGGTTGCACAACTGTGTATTTATGAAATACTGAACTGCACAGTTTAAAAAGATGCATTTTATGGTCTGTAAATGCTATCACAATGATGTTATATATTTTTTATTTTTATATTTTATATATTTTTAAATGTTTGTTATCAAAGGATTTGACTGGGGTGAGTGACCATCCTGATTTACCTGGAATTTAGTTATTTCCTAGGACTCAGGACTTTTAGTGCTAAAACTAGGAACATCCCAGGCAAACAGGGATGAGTTTGGCACTCTGACTCAAGAGAGGAATATTTGAATTTAGATTTAAATGACAGGAAGGAAATAAGTAAAGTGGGGGAGAGAATTATATATACAAACAGCTTGTGGTGAGAAGGAGGGATAGTTTAAGGTACTGAAGGAAGAAATAACAGCTGAGGGCTGGGTAAGCCCAGGCTGGGAAGAGGCATTGGGTTCAAGCTCACACACCCGTGTAGGGAATAAAGGCCCTGGGAGTTTATGTATCTAGTTCCTGAAATACAGCAGTCTCCATGAGAACATACTTGGGGCCTCACTGCCCAGTCTTCCTGGGTGTCTGGGATGGTGCCCAGCACCATAAGGCATACAACTAATGCCTGGGGACTGTAATAAGTCCACTGTCCAGGTTTCTGGCCTTGGGTTCAGTGCTGTGCAAACAGATGTTCTGCTATTCCCAGCTTCCTGGCTCCTATTTCATTTTTTTCTCCTTTGCCTGTTACCTGTCAGCTGGAATGACCAGACTCAACTTCACAGAACTGAGAGGAGCCCAGACGGGTGCTACTCAAAAGTGAGGACACCAAAGGGATGACTGTGCTCTCAAAAGAGGAAAGTGACAACCAGAGCTAAGCATTTTTGGCTTTTAATTAACTTATGCCTGAGATGAACAACAGCTTCTCTGCCCCGCACCCTCCCCCATTAGCATATGCTCCCGCCTTCCTGCTGTCAGCAAGTCGGTTGAGAAGATCCGTACGTCAGTGGAGACATAAGAGGGACAAGCAGAGAGCAAGCACAGAAAGACAGGAACAGAGGCAGGCAGAGGAACTGAGGTTAGGGAAGAGGGGGAATGAAAGACATCCTAGGGTGTACACAGCACAGGGGACCGGGGCCAAGGGAAATAGGTCATGGGGAGTGGGAGAGCTGCGAAAACACCCAGAGAAGATGGGCTGTACGAAAAGAGTAATTCTATCTTTCCAGTTAGAAGAGCATCTCAAATCTTTGCCCCTGCTGAGATCCCAATGTGGGCAGCCCAATCACTAACACGCTGTTCATGAATTCAGCAGGCTCTCTTGGAAATTGCTGATTGCCCCACATCAGAGCAGCCAAACAAAAACCATACTCTTCCCCTTTAAAACAGTACATTCAATGCAGCACATTCTTCCTCTCTGCCCCATTATCCCATTTGCACTCAAAAGGAAACTTGTACTTGAAGGCATATTAGAAAATATTTATTTAGAACACCATTTACCACATTGTGCCAAGGTGACAAGGCTAGGTAATAAATAGAAAAAGAAAAAAGAAAATTTAAACGGTAGCATCAAAGGCAGCCTTTCTATTTCAAAACACAAGAAAATAACCTTATAATGAGGAGTCACAGAGAGAACCGAAGATGCTGCTGTGACTACACATCCAGCTTCAAACCCTATTGTTCTAGTTGGGAGAGTACAGGAGGGGGACGGAGTCAGTAAATCAGAAGAAAGGAGAGAAGTATAAATAACTTATGCTCCTTTAAAGGCACATAGGCAAGATGAAATTCATATTTAAAAAAGGGTTCTCTCTGCTGTTATTAAAACTTAAAGAACTTTGCAAAGCAGCTAAATTACTTTTACCATTTATTCTGTTAGCTTACTTTCTCCATTTCAATTTGTAGCATGAGACCAGAGGAGGGATGGGTCAGTTTTCTTTTGCTTACTGCTTGTCTCATGAAGTCCCTTTTATTTGTTTTCTACTTTAGTGAATTTGCATCTACACCCACACATTCTCTTTAGGCAGAAATCACATTTTCCTAATTTTCTTTTTATTGCAAAATCTAAACAAAATGTACAATAAATCCTTTAGGAAGGATAAATAGCACCTGGCCATCTATTTTTTCCTTGTTAATTAAGAACCTGCTATAAACAAGGCACTAGCCTAGGCACTTTTATACTCTCTCATTTAAGCTTTGTTAACCTGTGGAAGGCTGTAGGGCCCTTTGTCATTCAGGTTTTTTCTCTCCCCCCATCATGCACTTTTATTAAAAATGAATCACCTTCTAGCCTTTGCACACATGTGCTGCCACCTCCTTACCTATTCTGAAAGGACCTTATACGCAGACTGTCTATGTACAGCAGGAATTTTCTGTTTGGTCCTCAAAATAGCAGCATTAGCAACTCCTGGGTACTTGTTAGAGATGAAAATTTTCCGGCCTCATTTTAGACCTCTTGACTCAAAACTCTTGGACGGGGCCTCCCTGCAACTTGTGATTCTCTTGTATGCTTAAGTTTGAACAATGGCTTTATGGAGTGGATGGCTAGTCACCAACTCAAGCTTTTAGTAATATTTTCTTCTTAATACAGAAATAGACTTAAACAGATTCCAATAAATTCTGAAAGTGAACGCAAAGGGAGAAGAGACGTAATAGATGGAATGAGGTGGCTTTATTTAGGCTAACTAACTTTTATAAAATTGCATCAAGGACCCATTAGGGAAACCAGAGAAGCCAACCCATTTAATGCACATCTGAGAAGCAGCTTGACTTACTTGGGAGCTGTGGCCCTCCTGAGCATGGCTGGCTAGAAGACAGGTATACTGACTTCATGATTTGTAAGATTTCCTAACTCCCATTTGCTGAAAATTAATTAGTTCTACTTTCTCTGTTTTCCAAGGCTTCCAGAGCCTTGTAACTTTTTCTTCCTCAATTAAGATACAGAGTCTCTGTTCTTGTGTATGCTTTAGACTTCGAAGAATGCTAGATTCTGAAGTTCACATTGCATATCATGGCTAGACTACATAAATAAAGTTGCTGTTCTTCTAAAATATGTATTTTATGCTATGTATTACTTGGAATTTAACTGAGGTTATCTTAAGAAAGAACAGTATGTTTTATTTGTATGAAATAGCTTGATATGGTTTCCAGATCAGCAATGAGAGCAGATATTATGGTTTCTCATAACTGGGCTAACGAAAATGGAAGGTAGTAAGGTTTTCCCAGCAATGCGGAATGTTACCTCCACATAGGATGTTAACACTCTGACTCTCTATATGCCTACTTTTGATGTGCTGTTATTTCTACTTTTCAGGCCTTTGTTGCTGAGGAGGATTCAGATCCACACCAATAGTAAAAAGATGCTGGAATGCTTGGTGGGATCCCTCAGCGGGATCATGCTGCCCAGCCAGTCCTCTGCTTGTTGACTAGCTTCAGAGACCAAGAACTGGAATGAGACTCAAGGGGCTGGGGAGCAGGGGGAAGAAGGCTGCTCCTAGACTCCGAGACTTGGCTGCAGAGTCATACAGCAGGAAAGGGGCTGACAGCAAGTTTTGCCCAGTGTTTCCTCTGTTCCCAGAAACACTGACTCCCACAGATTTTTCCTCACCTGTTATGGCCTGAAGGACGTCATGGGTTTTGTTACGAATTAAAGTATCAGTGGTGATATACCTATGAATTCAAATGTTTTTTGAATGGCACTGTATTTGGACAACCCAAAAAAGTGAAGGTACTTCTTTGCTAATGAATGGGCTATCTTTACATTTTGCTGTGGTTGCCCTCTTAATATGTCTTTCCCAGGAGTTTTCATATCCTATTAATATAAGAGAATCATAGAAAAAATGGTTACGGAAACTCTGTTAGCACAGGTGTTGACAGGTTGGGTTTCCAAGAAGCAGAGATCAGCACACAGGACTTTAATTCGAGCGTACTCCAGATCAACACCTGAGGAAGGCAGGCAAGGCAGCAGGACCGGGTGGAGAGGAAAGCTGAGCTAGGATGCAGCTCAGTGACCTTCTCAGCTGTAACTCCATCCACAGCTCTGGGATCTGCATGGCCTCCAGGTTTTGCCTAGTTGGGATAAAGTGGAGATAGAGCTGAATGTTAATCAGGCAGTGAATTTGGGCTGTCTGGAAGGGGGTGTAACTTTTGGAAAAGGAGATTTTCCTTAGCCAAGCCAAAATAATCCTACAAGAGGGATGACAGGTGAGGGCCTTTATGAAAGCACTCCTAGAAGGAATTCCTGATGAGAGATCTGAGTGCTTAAGTCCTCTAAGAAGAGCACCTAAGGCATAGTCAAGAAGTTAGTGTTCATAAGATCTTGAAAGACATTCCCGTGTAAAGGCCATATAGTCTAAGACTTGCAGGCACTTCCCAAAAAGAATCTAAGGCTGATCATATATGTTAATTATGAAATTTATTTTTTTAAGTCTAATTGAAATTGATGGTTGAGAGACCAAAAATCCAAAATCTCTAAAGAATATTGGGATTGTTGAATTTTGGGAATTTTCTTCATATCTGTAATTGTCTTCCTACACGTGAACAAAAGTTCTGAAAAAGGAATTGGGAGGAAAGAGACTTTATTCCAGCAAACAGTCTGCAAAGCCAGGAGGTACCCTTTGATGTAAGTGAAGGTGCATTCCAGGAACAAGGAAGGCTTGGGTTTTATAGCAAAAGTTCCTGCCTATTCCCAGCTAGTTTTATTTATGCAAATGAAGAATGGACACTCACCTGGTTATGACTGGTTGATACAGACTAGCCCAAATTGGTTACTACAGCTGAGCTCTGATTGACTGAGGCAGGTGAGCTCTGAAAGTCCTAAAGTTAAAAAGGTGCAGGTTTGGGGGAAACTCAAGAGGGTATGTATGATCTCTAGTCAGCATATGGTTGTTTGACTCAATTTCAAATTTAGGCCCAGACAGCCATGTGGGATATATCATGAAGAACTGGCTCTTTTAGGTTGACATTTGTTAGGTTTCACATTCAAAAGTTGTCGACAGACAGTGCTGATCAAATAGATAGATTGCATTCCATCATGGCGCTGGAGTGGTTGGCAAACTGCTCCAGGCTCATCTAGTCCTGTGCAGGGATCCTCGTGGTAGGGCAGTGGCCAATTAAGCAACCAGAGCCAGGTACCTGGTTAAATTTGAATCAAAATCTCTTGTGTTAAGTTAGTACGAATCTGGTAGGGTTCTCTTGCGGACATGTGTTAAAACAGGATAGAACAATTTTAAAGAGGAGCCAAATGCTTAGCTCAAATATGAGGAGGATCATTGAGACTTGCATGGAAGAATGCAGAAGGGATCCTATACCTGGGGAAGACAGCTGAAAATATCTGAAAATTAGAAATTTAACCCAGCAAGTCCAGTAAGCCAGGAGGCTTTCTGAAGGTGTCTTCTTCAGAGATATGGCTAACTTTAGGATCTTAGATGTTTCTAATTCAGCCTGTCCGGAAGTATTTACCCAGGTACAGAAGCAAGTGTTAGTGACAGCACAGTCACTACGCTGTGCAATGAGGTGATAGTCTAGAGTAATGTAATTGTGTAGGACACAAAAACAAGGGAGTTCAGGGACCTCTGTTGTGTCCTGATGGCTTGGGCAGTGAAGTGGGCAAGTCTTTCAGCAGTACAGGAAAGGTTTCTGATCATATATTCACTAAAAGCAGAACTTAGTCCAAACCAAGGCCTCCGAAACAATCCTAATCCGGCTCCTCCACTAGAGTTAACCCCTCTGGATAAACTGCAGCCTGGGAAGTTTCCACAAGTATCATCTTCATAAGGTGAGAAGTTATAGATGGTGTTGGATTGTGCCCCAAGACCCTCCAGTGGCTCTTAAAGACCAGGGTAGATGGCGTGGGCAAGGCTAACTGAACAGATGGGAATTTGAGGAAAAGCCATTTGTGGGGCAAAATCCCTGGTGAGGATAACTCAAGCATTTCCTCTTTCTAGCAGAAGAAAATATGGGCCTAGAAAGTTTCTAAGTAGTCCCTTCCCAGGCAATGTATAGGGCCAACAGGACAAGCAATAAACAATGACTTCCAGTGAGCTGTTCTAGTTGAAATGGGACAAGTAAAGATTATGAACTGTCATATGCTGTCTGGCTACCTGACCACCTGGATGAATTCAGAACTCCTAGGAAAGTAAATGGAAAGCACAACAGAGTAGCCCCTGTGTCAGCCAGAGCTCTGACCAGTTCATCCTCAGTCTTAGTATCTAATCGTAGGAGACATATCCCCTAAATGTCCCCAGAGCACCCCTAGTTTTGCTTGGGGGAAGAGACTTTATCAGGATTTAGTTGGAGCCAAATTTCGGGGGAAATTGGGAGAATTTCATGGTCTAGTCTACAGGTAGATAACAAGAACTTGAAAACAATGCACAGGGCTTCAATCTAATAACAGGAGTACTTAAGCTTTCCTTAGAAATGTAACTTTTTCTGTATACATTGATCATATAGGAAATTGCAGTCTAGGAAGCCAAAAAAAAGGCAAGCGTTAGACTTTGCTTACAGTCTTAAGGTTCTTGGGACTACCAAGAAGTGACAATTTTTCCTCATTCACTGTAAGGCTGGGAACTCTTGAAGTCAGGTGTTTTATGCATTTTTTTTTTTTTTTGAGGCAGAATCTCATTGTGTTGCCCAGATTGGAGTGCCGTGGTATCAGCCTAGCTCACAGCAACCTCAAACTCCTGGGCTCAAGCGATCCTCCTGCCTCAACCTCCCGAGTAGCTGGGATTACAGGCATGCACCACCATGCCCGGCTAATTTTTTCTATATATTTTAGTTAGCCAATTAATTTTCTTTCTATTTTTAGTAGAGTCGGGGTCTCACTCTTGCTCAGGCTGGTTTCGAAATCCTGACCTTGAACGGTCCTCCTGCCTTGACCTCCCAGAGTGCTAGGATTACAGGCATGAGCCACCATGCCTGGCCTAGTATATTCTTAAATATGACATTTCTGTC